TCTTGTCACCCAGTTTTAGAGTTTGGAATGCCCATGCAGCTGACTTGGTAGACATGACCTTTCAATGGCCAGGAAGGACCAAATGTTCCATGTGGCTAGAAATACTAAAGGAGTGGGGGTTATTCCAGAAGCAACCAAGAGGCCTTGTGGATGTCCTGGGAGATAAGCTGGCATCTTCTGAGACCAGGCAGCAGCATCAAAGTCGGCAGAGGCTTGATTAGCTGTTGAGGCCTGCAGCTTTCAGAGAGAAGTCAGCTCTCTGCTCTGGGCCGTACCTTGGGAAACCCCCTGCTCCCCCCTCACCCCCACTTCTCCCTTTTTCTAGTGGCTACCTCTTCCTTGTAGTGACTCAGATGTACAGGGTAACACCTCAGCCAACCCAGCCTTTCAATCTAGTTAAATCTGCCCTGCATTTTGCTCCAGAGCCGAATGACGTTTCTCTATCGACCGCTCTGCATCCACTGATTCATCTTATCATTCCGAGTGAACAGGGCTTCAGTCAGGCAAAGGTTCAATAGATAAAACCTGAAATTAAATTAAATTAAACATATTTTTAAAAAGTGGCTATCATATTAATATAATAAATATAAATAATATAATTATTATATTAATACAATAATGAATAACCCTCAGAAGTCCCTGAACTTCAGGTCTCTTCCTCACTCCTTGGAAAAGCAGACTGCAAATTGAGGAGGGAGGGCTGGGTATGACCAGTTTATACCCAGGGGAAGCGTTGGGCACTTAGGCAGTTACATACCAGGAAGGGGAACAAGGAAAGGAATTAGTATTTATTGAGTATGTATGAACCAGTGCAGTTCACAGCTCACATTTTCTTCACCCTTTCAATGCCATGAGGGTGGATCTGTTTCTCTACAGTGCTGGGAGCTGTTAAAGGCTTGCTTAGATCCTCTAAGAAGTTGGTTGCAGAGCCAGGCCTCGAGCAGACCCACCTTCCTCAAAGCCCATGTTTTATTAGATATGATGGTCACTTCGCCAAATTAACCAGGGACAGGATTTATTTCCCACCAATGTAGAACCTAATTTCTTTTATGGCCAACAACTCATATGAAGCTATATTAGTAGCCAGATCTGTGTACTGGCCTGAGGTTAAATTGCATTTCCTATTTTCTCCAGTCTTTTTCTGTTTCTGTAACATGTAGCTCCCTCACAGTGCCTAGTGAGTGCCTTCAATAATTCATGGGATGCACCAAGTGTGTACTTGCTAAGTTTGGACTCAGAACCATTCAGTGACTATTTGCAGCTGTTTTTATGATAGTCTTTGTGAGCAACAGGATTTAGGTAAAGAAAAAATGATCTACATCAGAGGGAAACAAAGTAAGCTATATAAAATGTAAAATGTAGCACCTTTGGGAGAGTCATAGGAAATTTAAACAAAAAATTAATCTGTTTCCTCATACACACAGATGAGGTAAGGTAATTGAAAGTAGCTGAACTGTCACACAACTGCAGGCAGGCAGTTACTTGCAGAGAAAGGCTGGCGACAGTGGACCACCTAGAGACCATGTGACCTAGCCCCCTATCTCTCAACATAAGAAAACAGGGGCCCCAAGGCTGAAACATGTGCCCAAGAGTTCACTTCAAGGGAGCCAGACCCAGTGTGATGAGGCTGTTCAGTATGGAGACCCCAAATCGTATAGATCTAACCACAACCCACAAGCCCACACTCATGAGACATGGATATCTCCTGGCATCCTCTGCTTCTGTATAGCCGACATTTGGAGTGAATAAGTGCAGTCTTGACTTTGAGGTTCAATCCCAAGCATCCATCAGGACCTCCAGGGGAAGAGAGCTTCCTCTGCAGCCATTAACTATGCTGCATTCATCAGGAAGTCACAGGTTCAAGGTCAGGTTTCCAACCCAGAACTCTTAGCCCGTGATAAAGATTATGAAGGGCTTCAGAGTCCAAGAATCTATGCACTGAAAGAATAAAGAATTGTGTCTCTATTCTCTTCCTCTTTGGACTAAAGACCATGATGTCTGTTATAGTTTAATGAGTTGCTTATTTTTATTTTTATGTGTTTGGCTGTTTTGCATGTATGTTTGTGTGTGGACCCCAGAAGCAAGAAGAGGATGATCTTGATCTTCCAGAACAAGAATTAGGGATGGTTGTGAGCTGCCTGGGTGCTGGGAATCAAACCCAGGTCTTCTGGAAGAGCAGCCAGTGCTCTTAACCACTGAGTCATCTCCAGCCCCTGCTTATCAGATTTTTAAGAGTCCTGTCATCTCCCAAAAGATGAAGGACTACCAGTCCACCCAGCTAGGTCTTTTGAGTGTGACTGGTTATCAATTTCAGTTCCTTCCCTGGCTCTGGCCAACATGGTAAATGTCAGTGTGCTCTAAAGTGGAGGGCTTTGCCAATAGTGGAAGCTTAATAACAAGCCTCCTTTTTGCTTAAAGGCTTTGGCTGAGAGTTGCCTTTTCAGTTATTTTGTGTTTATTACAGTAATAATCATCTTTCCACAGTGAGTAACTTTGGATCAACTGGTCTCATATCTTTTTCTTATGCTATAATTATGTCAAATGGTTGAATATGGCCCTGCAACTCCTGCTTTTCTTGTAGCAATTCCAGACATCACACATTGTCCTCCACTCTGCAACTTCTTTAAAAAGTTGTCTCTGTTTTATGAAGTATTTATGTTTGCAGTGAATTATGGAAATTTAAATTATATCAGATTTAACAACAGGATGAAACCCCGGATGATGGAAGTAATTGATTTGGCAATGGTCACATAGTTAGAAGTTTGCAAATCTTATGTCAGCCTCTCTCTCTCTCTCTCTCTCTCTCTCTCTCTCTCTCTCTCCCCTCCCCCCTTCTCCCTCTCCTTCCCTCTTTCTCTTACTCTTTTCTAGAGCTGGAATCTAAAGCCTAAGGATTACAGCCCCTGTAAAGCTAATGAGATCATCTTGAACTGATGAATGGGTGCAATGTCGCCATCTAACAGTCAGGCTTTCAACGGGGAATGGTTTGAACAGTGATATATTCCACTCCTGTGAACTGGGCCACCCTTGTCCTTGTAAAGAGCCTGCTGCTCTGTCCGGTTGGCTGTGGGCTCTCCATCATGCCCATCAGTTAAGCTTCTATGGCCACCAGATGACAATCGGCCTCTTCTGATATGGCTTATCTGGCTTGCTCTTCATCTGCCGCTTAGAGCGTGTCCTTCAACTGTCCCAAATGACAGGATCCACCCACTGCATCCTTCTGTTTTTCCTACCAGTTCATTCTAGTTTTTCCCTGAATGCTGTTTGGAATATGAGCTAGATTAATCATTATGTTTTCCCTGCTGATCTCTGGAGTCTTGACTGTTGGTCTCTGGAATCTTGGCTTTGGGTGATGCCGGGGATTTAAGGGAGACAAGGTTATCTTAGGGGCCGGCCTTCCTTTCTGTGTGGGAAAAGGACCTGGGCGGTGCAATGTGGCTTTCAGAGCCTCTCAGGGCTTTGGTGTTTGGTCTGATGTTTTGTTGGACAATGAATGAAGAAAACCCTTGTTTCTCTCCCTCCCTCCATTTCAACCTTTCCCTTGTCCCCTCTCCACACACCCTGCCATTTCTCCCTTTTGTTCCATTACACTTGCTTTTGTTAGTCTCCATTTCTGAATTCTTGTTCTTCATATGACATGAGTAACATTGAAACACAGAACAACCAAATTGGGCCATACATTTCTCCATTCCCAGAGAATTCTCAGAGGTCCACAGTGTCACTATGGATAAGAAGTGACAGATAATAGGTTTGTGACTATGAGCATTGAAGGCCGTGCCTATGGGCAAGGAGAGATAAGAAGTTTGGCACCCTTGCCCAGGCATCTCCCAGGCAGCACCTCCCATCGCCTCTAGCCACACCGCCAAGTTCACCACTGTGTGACCAGGAATGACTCTCTCAACCATCGGGTCTCAGTTTTCCCAATGGTTTAGGGAGAACTTGGGACTGTTTTACCTCTTGACTTTTGGGCTCTGAAAATGCGTTTCTACAGACACTCATCAACACTCACACGAGGATAATTTTACTAGATTTCCTCCTCAATTTTGTTTAGACAAGTCAAGTAGATGGTGGTTTCTTTGTTTACACATGTAGATGAGGATTAGAGAAGGAATGATACTTTGTAGATGTGGCCAAACTTTTGACACTATCATACAATGTTTTCACTTATAAACTTCATGCTCAAGAGTCTTGCTATCAAGTTGAAATTTTTTTTTGGAAAAACCATTCTTTTATTTAAGTTTATGATTTTCTATTAGGCCACACTCATAGCTAACCTGCAGAGTATGGAGAGCATAAGTTCACTAGAAATACAGAAAATTACAGCAAGGACTCAAAGAAAAGGGAAGGTTGACAGAAGGCCCCTAATTACAAATCTACACTTACAATTTTGCCTAGAGGAATTTGAGTCCTTTGCTATTTGTTGGCATGACAAAAGAACACAGAGTGAAATGAATCAGTCAATGAAAACTATAAAATGCAGAGCTACACAAGTGTTATGGAGTGGGGCGGGACTCAAGAAAAACCTGGGACCCAGTGTCTGCCCTCAAGCCATGATAAGCCCATTCATGTGATGGGGCCCATTCATATATCCCAGGCGGGTGTCAGAGGTCTGTGTTTCCCAGGGGGAGTTCAGGGGAAGGAACCAACCATTTGACCATGGATGCTCTACCTGTGTCGATTTGTCACCATAACTCAGACTGCATGCTGGGGACAGCAATGAGCAAAGCTAGAATAGTTGGTCATTATGACTGTTTGTTACGTTTCTCTGCTATGTATTGTTCACAAGTGAGTTACTTGTTCCTATAGTTTTATTTCTGAAAAGAAAATTTAAGACAAGTCAGAGAAATGACTGGAAAGACTATGTATTTCATGAGATGTATTAAGGAGCACTTTGAGGGTCACTGATGAGTGTAGCTCTCCATTAAGGCACGGGTGGCACCAGTAGCAACCCAACTGGCTAACGGACCGTCATCCTCTCTCTGAAATAAAGAGAAATCAAGATGACTGAGAAGGATGAACAGCCGCAGCTGGAGGAGGGAGACGATGAGCTGGACAGCAAGCTCAATTACAAGCCACCCCCTCAGAAGTCCCTTCAGGAGCTGCAGGAGATGGATAAAGATGACGAGAGTCTAATCAAGTACAAGAAAACACTTCTGGGAGACGCTCCGGTGATAGCAGGTATGTGGAGGGGTGGGGGGTGGGGGGGTCGGGGGAGGCCTCCAGTGAGACATACACAGCTGTCACCCTCAGTCAGAAGCAACGGGCTACATGGTTAGGTGGGTGAGACACTATTTATTCATGCTGCCTAAGGTCGCGGCTGTATAATTAAATCTTCTTTGGAGACTGTGTGAGAGTTGGAGGTGAGGCAGACAAAAGGTACCCACAGGGAGTACTTAGAATTTCAGACCACAACTACATTGTAATCTGGTCTCCATCAGCCCTAAAGTTTTTTTTCTCTTTCTTGGGTGTTTCTTAACTATTCCTTCTCTCTCTCTCTCTCTCTCTCTCTCTCTCTCTCTCTCTCTCGCTCTCTCTCTCACACACACACACACACACACACACACACACAGCCAGAACCAGACATGGTGACAAGGTCTAGTAGACAATGTCTCAATATTTGAGACTTATAATTAAGATGAGTCTGTGTCTTAGTTAGCAACTTGGGAGAAAAGGGTTTATGTATTTGGTTTATGCTTCCACAATCACAGTCCATCATTGAAGGGAGTCGGGCCTGGTACTCAGGGAAAGAACCTGGAGGCAGGAGCTGATGCCGAAGTCATGGAGAAGTGCTGCTTACTGGTTTGTTCTCCATGGTTCATTCAGCCTGTTTTCTTATAGCACCCAGGACCACCAGCCCAGGGGAAACACTGTCCATAATGAGCTAGGCCCTCCCACCACAACCATCAATCAAGACAACCCACTGGGTTGCCCATATGTCAGCCTGGTGAGGGCACTTTCCCAAGTGAGGGCCACTCTTCCAAAATGACTCTAGCTCATATCAACTTGATATAAAAGCATCCAACACCGTCTGCAAATTCCTGAATAAGAAAAATCACAATTCTGCCATTTCTATAGGGATCAATACCAAGCATTCTGTTTCTATTGCTACTCCACATAGAGAAGTCATTTTCTCTTTATAGTCTCTTCCCTCATCCACAACTTGAAACACTCACAAACATACACATACACGCACACACACACTCACACACAGACATACATACACATACACACACTCACACACACACACACACACACACTCACACACATACATACACATACACACACACTCATACACACACACACACACACACACACACACACACACACATTCCCTTTCCCCATACTTACATTTTCTCTTTAACCCTACAGACCCAACAGTCCCCAATGTGACTGTTACCCGGCTTAGCCTTGTTTGTGACAGTGCACCAGGACCAATCACCATGGACCTTACTGGTAAGGGAACACATCTGCATTATTCAGAGGGGTCTAAGATGTCACAGGAAAAACTTGGTCTTTGTGCCCAATCCCCACTGGAGAAAATTATTAAGGTGGCCCTTGGAGACATATATGCTGGGATCAATCTACAAACCATTGCACTCTGAGTGTCCTCTGCTTGCCATGTTTAAAAATAACCCTCTATCTCCAGACTCAGTGGAATTGAACAGTTGAGGGTTACACACCTTTTGTGTGTATATGCATGTGTTATTTGCATACTATTATGATTCCAAATTCATGTACCTGTGAAGAGTGCATGTATGTACATGCATGTGGAGGCCAGATGTTAACCTCAGGGGCCGTTCCTCACAATCTCTCACTTGGGCTAGGCTGTCTGGCCCTTGAGCCCCAGGAAAGACATCTACCAATCTCCATTGACCCACAGCTACCAAGCCCAGGTTTATTTACTTGGAGGGATTATTTAGTTGTGAACATTTGTTTAACATCCAGGAGGTCCTCATGCTTGCGTGGCAAGCATGTCACTGAGCCCCCTCTCGAGCCTCCAGTTGTGCACTTTTGCTACGTTTACTTGTATGATATTGATGTCAGTTCTATGTTTCCACGTGGAAGAAGAAACAGTTGTTTTTATAGGAAAGACTGCAGGTGTCGACACATGCTGGGAACTTCCAGACTTATAATATTTATACGGTCTGAATACCAGCAAAAGTTCTAATCCTCTCCCAGCTATGGCCTTAGCTGAAGGGGAGGAGCACCCCAAGACCTCCTGGGTAATGACAGATACTCCCCTGCCCAACATACTCAAACCTTAAAGCTCCATGCCATCAACAGTTTCACCTACAAAAACAGTGTTTATTTCACCTTTTATGTCTAACAGCCAAGTACTTTGAGGCAAGTCTCGAGGAGATGGTCCTAGACGGGGAGGTGGGCTTCACAGGGAAAACAGATGCCTGCTGGGGGTGAGAAAAGGGTCAGGAAGCGAAATCAGAAGCATGAAAGATAGATCTGGGGGCAGGGACCTGCTTGCTGCCAAACTCCAAACTTCACTGAAGCAGAGGAAAGCACGACTCTAGGGCTCTGAGTGCAGCAGCAGGAACTTCCCTCTCACAGGACATGGGCACTTTACCTTATATGGGTTTTTCTGTCAGAGGGAGGAAATCAGAGCCTGAGAAGACAGGTTTCCTGTTCAACTGAAATCAGTAGAGCAGACACCACACACACCCAGGCGCTCACACACACATGTGCGCGTGCACGCACCACACAGGCACTCACAGCCCCATGTTTCAGCATCTCTCCAGGACAAAAACAGGCTCTCTCTCACCCTGACCCAGCCCTCTGTCAGGTGGCCAGGTACAACTGCCAGTTGGCTAGAGAAGGTTGGACAGTGCTGCAGACAAGTCCAGAAGGGATGAGAACACTGAACGGAAGCTTGGTCTTTGAAAACCGGAATTTTGGTTTTCTGTCCTAGGGAAGCCGCTGAGATGAAGCCATGTTTGTGAAGTAAAATATTTATCCAAAGCTGTGTGAAACACACATGTACATTCATACATAAGTACACACAGACAGACAGACAGACAGACACACACACACATACGTGAACACACAGAGAGACACACATGTACATACATACACACACACAAATGAGCTAAATAGGAGTGTGTGAAGGAAAGAATAAATCGTCATAACTTTCCTAAGCAAGGCCTAGGATTTAAAGGCAGCCCTCAGGATTGTGAACCCTAAAGCTGTTACAATTTAAATGATCTTCCTTAAGGAAAATAATATGATATGACATTGTAAATGTAAGTCCAATAAGTTCAAAATGAGAACCTATTTAAATAATTATAAAATTTAAAAGCAGTTTTTAAAGCTAGAATATACCATATATTACCAGTTACTGGTAATACCAGTAATTGGTAATAATAATATCAATTACACAAATTGATGGAGGGAAAGTCTATTGAAAGCTTATCAATTTTATGAAAGCCAATAGCTGATGCTTATATATTTTTTCTCATTTCTTTGAGAGATGCCATCACAAATTCATTGGACTATGAAGCTTTCATTAAAAAGAATATTAGCTCACTTTCCTCTAGGGTGGCCAGTTGAATGACTTTTTTTGTTACTGACAATAATAAAAAATATTTATCTTCATCAGGACTGATTAGAAGTTATAGAAAAAAAGAGATTTATCTCCACAACTAATTATAAAGTTTGTGTATTTTTGGCATTGACATCAAACTTATAGGAAAATCTTTTACCATGTAACTGTGTGTGTGTGTTTTTTTAATAACTAAACTGTAAGATGCAGGCAATGTAGGGGCTCTGTGTGTGTGGTATATATGTATGGTGTGGTGTGTGTGTGTGTGTGTGTGTGTGTGTGTGTGTGTGTGTGAACACTAATCCCATATGCTAGCTGAACTAAGTAAGATCCTTATGAGTCATGCACCCACATGTGCCCAGCAGAAGGCTCTGAACCTTGGCTTTCACTCTTTATGCAGCAGCTACTAAGGATATTAACTTTCTAAATGCTCTTCTCCAGGTGACCTCGAAGCCCTCAAAAAGGACACATTTGTGCTAAAGGAAGGTATTGAGTATAGAGTCAAAATTAACTTCAAAGTAAGTGCCTCCCACATGTGCCCTTAACTTTCCTATGGTTTATTTCTTCCCCGATTGTGTTTATATTCTGTTGTCACCAGTGGTGGTTTTGATGGTGGCTGTTGCTGCCCTTCTTACCCCAGCTTGGGTCTGAAATAACCCATTCGCACCCCTGAACTCTTCCTATGGAGATCCACCCTTGCCTCCCGAACCCTTCTCCAGCCAGGATACCTCAGCCTCTCCATCCATCACCACCTTCTCTCAGAACCCCTGACACAGGGCACTCACTACTGTGTATTGTGACATTTCCTCCTTATACAACCTAAGCAACCCAGGGCCATGCTAAAATTGTGTGCCCCTTCCTTCCACTATTTCACACAGCTTTGTAAATGGTAGGTCTTTATGGCTGTGTATTACAAAGAAATGACCCAATGAGAAGGAAAAGAAAAGAGGGTCCTCCACTGCTCAGTTATCACTTGGATCCAAGAGCCATGGTCTTTACAGAGTGTCTGGGAATCTCAGTGGCATTTGTGGAGCATATGAGCAGATTATCTAGCAAAACTTAACAAGAAGTAAGCTCACAGCTCATGAATAGAGATACATCCCAGTGAGTAACTACAGTTCCCAGAAAAATAACCTGGGCTGTGAAGGCAAATAAGTGAGAGACGCACTGTTTTTGCATTTCAGGGTTTGTTGGCTTTGGCTGCCCCTCGTCCCCACTCAGTCATGTTCTCCAGGCTCCAGCAGGGGAGACGCCATCTGCTCTCTCTGTTTGCACACTGGGCCCACCTTTCTCCTGGGTGCAGGATATGATTCAGGGTGGCTAGCCAGCCACTCTCTACCACATGCTAGAATGTCTGAAGTCTTTTCATGCTGTAAATATTTGTTGACACCTACACAACCATCACTTGAACCATGGATGGCATTGCTTCCTGCCATACTGTTCATTGCTAGAGCTCCTGAGATGTAAGGAAAGCCTCATATCTAAAACTTGTAGGAGAGCTTCCCATCCATCCATCCATCCAATATTTAATCCGTTAGAAAACTTGGGTTTACAAATGAACTTCAACCAGTATTTCAGGCATTTAATCCCAGCACTCGGGAGGCAGAGGCAGGCACATCTCGGTGAGTTCCAGGCCAGCCTGGTCTACAGAGTGAGTTTCAGGACAGACTCCAAAACAATACAGAGAAACCCTGTCTTGAAAAAATAACAAAACAAAACAACAACAACAAAAAAAAACAGAAAAAAAAAGATGAAGGGAGGTCAATGAACATAGGAGAGGCTAGAGCTGTCAGAGCTGAGCATCGAGGCGCAGAGGGACCTTCAAGTACAATCCACTTCTGGGGTCTGAGTCTGTCTCCATTGAGATTAAGATGATTCTATCTGCAACCCAAGTAAAGGCGAATCAGCCCTAGCTTGTCCCAGTCACAGCTGGAAGGAACTCAGATCCCAGTGAAGAATAATTAAGAAGAAATTTAAATCTTACTGACGTTTCATGGCAAGCATTCAAGGAAACCGAATTTACAGTACCAGTTACCTACAACCCTCTAGGATTCTGTTTCTCTCCTTGTTCTTTTACGAACGATGAAGTTGACCACACCCTAGAACCCTGGCCTAAGGCGATTCTTTGGGTCCCCACCCCCACACTCTGCCTCTTCTACAGCCTTTGGCTGTCATTCCCGTCACCAGAACTTCTTGCTTTGGGGGTTGGGAGATCCAGTGGAGAGGAGCTGTGGACAGAAGAGGATATTACATAAATATTCATCTTTTTTCTGCCCCAAATGTGTTTCTGTGAAGTGGTTCCTCTCTGGAGCAGCCGCAGCAGATGCCTTATTGCAATTCTTGTCACTGCCTGGCTGCCTTTCCCAATGGTTGGTCTCTTCCCACCTGAACCGAATACGTGGCCCACTAGGCCCAAGGGTCAGGCTGAAGACTTATATAGACACATTCATTACTCTCATTTCTTCATTTTCTCTTCGTCTCTCCTATAAATCCTAGCTGTTTCCAGTTGCTTTATCATGCAGACTAACCTGGACAGTTTAGAATCCAAGATGGCAATGTTCAGTGTTTGTCTCCTTCACCATCGGAAGAATGAAGGACCGCAGCCCTAGTAGTTTAGTTCTAACTGTTGGACCCACCATACGTACAGATAGACAAAATTATTGACTGGGAAGATTATCATAGGTGCCTTAATTTTTCTGCTGTCGTAAATTCTCCAAGCCCTTCAGCTCATGACTCAGTGTCCTCTTTAACTTGTTTATATAGACATGACCACTGTGAAAAATTCTCGAACAGCCCAATTCAGGCCCAGGTACAGTGAGTCATGGAACACAAAATGCTAGGCTGCCTACAACTCCAATTCATCCCCTGGATTTTCATGGAGTATCTAGGGATAGTTGCAGGATCTTAGATGATGGCCAACGGTGAGAGAACTTGAAAGTGCTTGCCGGGTACCAGTGGGCTTCATCCATTATTTATGGGGAAGGGTGTTTTGGTGTGACCATAACCTTACCTCTAGATTCCGATCGAAGTCACACAGCCCTCTCCCGGGCCTGAGTTTCCATTACCACTTTTCTCTCTGTTTGCTTTTCATAGGCGAGGTGGATCACTTCTGGGGATATGGTGTCCACAGACTTACATAAAATTTTCCATTGGTATTTTTATAACCTTCTCTGAGACAGGGGCAGTGTTTTTGCTAGTAGTATTTAGGAGATAGAGCTATTGCCCAAGCCACTAGGGAAAGAGAAATATGGTGAAGAATATAGAGATAATGTTTTAATTAACACCCTCCCCAGAAGCAATTAAATGGAGAAATATTGCAAGTCAATGATTAAACCTATACTGGCAACACTGTCTTGTGATTGGGTCTCTCCAGTTCCTGAGAGAAACACACTAAGTTATGAGAGTAGCACTCAATCTGTTTAGCTAGATGGGATGGGCAGGAAAGATTTAAAAACAAACAAACAAACAACTGGGAGAGTCTTTAATGTGAATCGCTTGGGGTCTTCTCACCTACAGGTGAACAGGGATATTGTGTCAGGCCTGAAGTATGTTCAGCACACGTACCGGACTGGAATGAAAGGTAAGATTGTCCCAAACTTCTCACTGTTATTTCTGCCCAGGCTTTGAGCAACCTTCTAAGCTTAAAAGAGCTGGATGAATGGTACCGGCACATGGCAGGTCCACTCTAAGAAAGAATACACAGGTACCTCAGACCTAGACATTGAGAAAGCATTCAGGGTGTTGGGTCCACATAAGGCAAAGCACTGGTCTTCACCATTCAGACTCTAGAATTCAAGTCTGTTACAAACGTGGGGAGAGTAACCAAGGCAAATTGAAGCCAAGATCAGAAAGTAGTCATCATAGGTGAAGGAATGGAAGAAATAACCCAGTCAGTAAAGTGCAAGCAGTATGGTGGCATTGGTCTGTAATCCCAGCCTGGAAAGGCAGAAACTGAGGGGAGACGGGGGAGGTCCCTGGGCGTCACTAGATGGCCAACATAGATTAATTGGTAAGTTCTGGACCAGTGAGAAGGCCCCATTTCAAAAAAGGCAAGGCAGATATTGCCTGGGAAGAACACCTGAGGTCAACTTCTGCCCTATATGTGTCTCGAGCACGCTCACACACACACACACACACACACACACACACACACACACACACACACATTCATACACACACCAAATATTTGAAAGCACAAGCAGTCTACAGTGTAAAACCATGACAGAAAGACAAGAAAGACCTGCCCAAAGACCGTGTGCTGGGTGAGCATCATGGCTTCCATAGGGAGGAGGGACAGAGAGGCAGTGTTTGATCTTTTAACAAAGAAATGGGAAAACGTTTCTGTCTAAGGCTGAGAAAAAGCAGTGTAATTGAAATATAGAATCACATATTCCCTCTGCTGTCATCAGGGACGTCCCTTAGGCAGGAACGTAACCCAGATACCTCCACACTCCTTCCTGACCTGTCTTACTTTCTGCACCAGGCATGGACCCAAGATAACACATCCCAGTCCCCCAAATCAACAAAAGAGCCAGGAGAAATTCTTATTTGATATGATTTCAGGGCATAAAAACCAGTCTATCACATTCCAGAGAAGACTGTGGACCTGAGAAACACTGCTCAGCCTTGCTAGTGCCTGGGCTCCTGAAACCCAGCTCAATTTCCTATTTCCTTTGAGCCCGGAGGCTGTGCTGACTCACTGCGGCAAGCAGCCATGGCATGTGTACAGCTGGGCCTCCAAAGCACAGCTGGTAAAAGGCCAGCTGTACCCTACCTGGCAGAGACTCACTGCCATTTAAACTTCTAGACTCCAGCTGCTCTGAATCCATACCCCAGAAGTCCGTCCCCCCCCCCAAAAGTGACGTCGGTTGACTGTTTTCACCACTTTTTCCACTCCTCCACTTTTAAACTTTTGACCAACTTGCTGATTTCCCCTCCCATCTAACCTGGGAATCCCTAAATTCTACATAGTCTGACCACCAGATGTTAGAGTAACCCCTTCCAACTAAGAGTGGTTTTAGATAAGTGGTCCTTAAAGTCCATGAGAGACAGAAAGAGACAGGCAGACAGAGAGGGAGAGAGGGAGAAGGAGGGAGGGAGACAGAGGGAGAGAGAGGGAAGGAGAGAGGGGGAGAGAAAGAGAAAGGGAGAGAGAGAGGGGGGGACAGAGAGAGAGGGAGGGAGAAAGGGGGAGAAAAAGAAGGGAAGAAAGAGAGGAGAGGGGGAGAGAGATAAGGGGAGGGAGAGACAGAGAGACAGAAAGAGACAGAGACAGACAGACAGAGACAGAGACAGACAGACAGACAGACAGACAGACAGACAGACAGACAGACAGACAGAGACAGAGGGTCCCAAGTGTTGCAGAGCTGGGACAGCTACCAGGAAGATTGAGACCTGATGTCTGTCTGTCCATTTTTAATGGTGCAATCTGCTATATCTCTGTAAGGAGGCTTCAACCCCACTGATTTAAGTCACTAAAACTCTGGCTTAATAATCAGAATCGACTCTGACCCTTTTCTTTTTAAAGACTGATTTTGACATCCACAGGTTACTGAACCTTGGTCCCAGTTAGGGGGACGGCAAAATAAATTGCATTTTTTTTAAAGAAGCTTTTTTTTTTTTTTTTTTAAACATGCTTTAATATATCTGCCTCAGGGGATTATCTGCTGTTTGAGACAAGGTCTCCTGTGCATGCAGACAAACCTGCTCTTAAGTTCCCTCCTCATCATCCCTGGTGCCGGAAATGGAGTTGTATGCACCTGGCTTAGAAATAAATAAATAAATAAATAAATAAATAAATAAATAAGACAAAAGTGCCCCAGGGAAAAGTGATATTTAGCCAGGTGTGGCAGTGTTGCTCTGGGTTTCCACCCATATAAGCTGCACGCCCGGCTCTGCCTTGTTTAGTATGCTTTTCCTATACCAGGGTCTTACACTAATGGACCATTCTTTTTTCCTAGTGGATAAAGCTACATTCATGGTTGGCAGCTACGGGCCCCGACCAGAGGAGTATGAGTTCCTCACTCCAGTAGAGGAGGCTCCCAAGGGCATGTTGGCCCGAGGCACTTACCACAACAAGTCCTTCTTCACGGATGACGACAAGCAGGACCATCTCACCTGGGAATGGAACCTGGCCATTAAGAAGGATTGGACAGAATGAGTGCATCTGTCCATCCCTCCCCTACCTTCCCCTCTGGAAGAATCCTCCCAGCCATGTCAATCATGTTCACCCTCCCTCTTCACTTCTCTCTCTCTCTCTCTCTCTCTCTCTCTCTCTCTCTCTCTCACACACACACACACACACACACACACACACGGAGTCCTCTCGTTGATGTGTTTTATCTTACCTCATCTCTTGAACCCTAGGCTTTAACCCAGCATGTTCCCTCAGACTTTCTCCGCCTCAGCAGGACCAGAGTTCCGAAGTTCCCCATCTCATTTAACATTTCTCTCTTTTCTTCCAATCTGAGTACAGAAGGCCAGCAAGCCATCACTCATGGCTCCTTTGCCTCCTGTTCAGAAAGTCATTCTTGCCACTGGGTTCTTCTGGTTCAGGGAATCCCCCCATCACCTTCCCTGCCATTGGGGGGGGCTCTTCTTTGTGGGCGACACTGTAAACAACACAAAAGGAAAAGAATAAAGTAACTGTGTGTGTGACTGAGAATCTCACTTCCCTTCCTTTTCCCTTCAAACAAATCAGAAGGCTCACATTCTGAGTCAGCCTATGGATGGAGGCATGGGTAAGATCCACAGTACAGAGGAGGTATGTGTTGTTACAATGCAAGGGTCAGTGAGTGTTAGTAATACAGAGAGTGAACATTCTAAATTTCATTTATTGCACAATATTTTCTTTGGGGGCCTTCATCTAAGATTGAGATGTACACCCCACTACCTGTAGAACTCTCATCTCAGACTTGATTTGTGGTCCAGATCCAACTCTGGCTCCTGCTTGGGACTCTTCCTTGGATTCTCAACATCTTCTGAATGAAATAGAAGCATCTATGCTAGTTTAGGCTATTACATAAAGACCTATTGCAAGATGGCCTCGGCATCTATGGTTCTTCTCTCCCTTTCTGTAACTCTCGGTGACTCATCTTCCCTCGCCTTCTATTTTCATGTCAAGATGCTGGTTCTTCCCATGAGGTCTCTTGTCAATATGGAGTGTCAGCTTGACAGACTAGAACCACCATGGAGAAAGGCCTCCAGGCCTGTCTGTGAGGGAGCTTCTAGACGGGGTTCATTGAAGTGGGAAAGCTCACCCCAACCCTGGGTAGTGTCACTCCATGCTGGGATCCTGGACTGAACAAAATGGAGAAAGCGAGCTGAGTGCCATCTCTGCTTCCCAACTGCGGATGCAGTGTTGCCGACCAGCTGTCTTGCACTCGCACCAACATGCCTTCCTTGCCATGATCGGCTGGCTGTACCCTCAAACTGGGAACCATAATAAATCCTGCCTTCTTTTCAGTTGCTTTTGTCCCTTATGCTATTTAGTCTTGGCGTATAAAAGCAATACGTGTCCTTTACAAATTTTGATGTCTGGACAATCATATTCACCCAGGACTCTGCTTGTACTTACTTGCAGGTAGACATCCTTCAGCAAACTCTACACTTCCTCAAGTGACCTTCGTCTCTCTCACAACAGCCTATGAATTTTCCCACGTTTCACCCCTCTCTGTTTCGTATTTAAATCATCGATGTTTGGGTTGCCCTCTCCCATCAACAGTGTGAGCTGAGAGACACTGTATCAGCTGACATTTGTATTGGTAGCCCTACTACTTGCATCATTCAAGGCACGGGTCCTTTCGTATTCTTATTATTTAAATGAACAAACCTGTCTTTCTCCTGGTTGGATATGCTCCAAAGCCCTGCCACTTTGAGCCACTTATCACAGAAGGTGAAGGTTCCCCAGGGGCCAGCTGTGAAATTCCCAGAGCACTAACAACCCACAGCCATCTCACTACATCAGGCTGTCCCGGATCGGCAGCCTCAACATCCAGGGTTAGAACGGGAGAACAATGGAAATCTCCAGGTCCGCATGCCTAGTCCTTTCATTTATCCTCATGTGTGGGCTGGTCCCAGAAGTCATGGCAGATGCTGAAGAAACCTCAGGTAAAAAAAAAAAAATGTGGGGGCTGGGCAGTTGGGTTGCCATAAGGAAGCATGTCAAAGCCGAAGAGAGGGGAATATGAAAATATTCTGGGTATTTTCATTCAAACCTGGGAAACTTCCCAGGAGTCTCTGAGTAAAGATGTACGTTGCCCAGCATCTCCACTCCTCTTACTGCAGGCGGTCTCGGCACTACCCAGGAACCCATATGGCTCCCAGACATCCCAGCTACGGAGGAATTCATCAGTGCTGCTGAAGTGGCCATCATAGGTTTCTTCCAGGTTTGTGCGTACATTCTACCTGCTGTACCTGTGGTCGGGCATGTTCTGCCTTAGGGTAGCCGTGACAGTGGCCTGCTGGGCTAGTGACATTGATTTGAAAGCAAGAATGCTCAGACTGCTTTCAGCTTGTCATCTGAGACCCCTTCATTTCAAAACAGTCTGCTCTCCACATCAGGTCTCCTTGGACCTACTTCAGGGTCTCTGAGTCTCGTGGCTGCGTCTCCTCATCTATGGACACTTGGAAGGGAGTGGGTGTCTGCAGGAAGTTAGCCTCCATCACACCCCACCGCTGTCCTAAATAGCCATGATGTCCCACCAATAGCAGAAACGAATGCAGAAGCACATTTTAAACTTGTTTTTTATTGAGTATCTCTGATAAGGTCTCATAACTCAGGCTGGCCTGGAATGCTCTATGTAGCCCAAGCTTCCCTCAAACCCACAGTCCTCCTGCCTCAGCCTCCTGAAGAGTGAGATAATGGGAAAATGCCATAATGGGACTAGCCAAAAAGATAGGCTAAAATCATCCTTTATGACCTGGGAACACCTTTCACAGGCTGTGTTAGACCAAATGGGTAGACCCTCATTGATCTTTGTTACCCTCTCTGAACACTGAGGACCGTCAGGTGGTCACTGATATCTTCCATATTGGCTGTTGGGTAATGCAGACAGCCATAAACAGGAAGGTTTCATTCCAGCCTTCCTTGCCTCCTTTCTTTCCCTCTCTCTCTTTTCTCTCTCCCCTTTCTCCCCTCCCTTCCTCTTCCTTCCTCCCCCCTCTCTCTCTGTCTCTCTGTCTCTGTCTCTCTCTGTCTCTGTCTCTGTCCTCTCTCTCTCTCTCTCTCTCTCTCTCTCTCTCTCTCTCTCTCTCTCTCTCTCGGCAATCCTCACAGCTATAACCCAGCCCCTATTCTCTTACTTCAGACCTTCTTCTATTCTTCCATTCCCTGATTGCAATTTACAGTCACCCTATCCAATCTGTGTATAAAACTGGAAATAGCTGTGATAGGTGTCAATGGGAGAGGAAATCGGGTTTGGTGGTGGAAGTCTGAGCTGCAGAAAGCGAAGAGAGAACTGGAAGGATGCACTAACGTAAACAGCCACCAGATGCCGCCATTGGGTCCTTGAGTAATTCTATTCAAAAGCTCAGTTTACAAACCAGCGAGCCAGTGGACAAATATCCACTGCTTCTATTCTAAAAGAATAACCTCCTCCTTTCAAAAGAGCACGTCGCCAGCTCTGTTTTGTTGATCCCAGATACAAGACTAGCATTCTTCCCTTCTCCTTGCACACGCCCTTTAGCTCAGTGAGATGCAGGGAAAATAGGCGGACTGCCTGGAGCATCTGCGGACAAACATCCTAACTCAGCACCACGGAAGACCGTGCCAGTGTCTGGAAGGACAGCCGCCATCGCTGATGAGTGGCTTCCTATCTCCCTAAGTGCAGGCATGCGGTGCCATAGATGCATAGACCAGTAAGTTCCTTCCGGCACAGACTGAAGGATCCTCAGCCCCCTGCACATTTCCAGTGACCATGCTAAGCACCCGTTTTCTTATTGTTGCATCATCCTGTCCCTCTGAAAATTGTTCCCAAAACATTTGCCTCCCTAGGTGTATGAGTAGCTGTATACCCAACCTTCACAGACCTCTGGACGCCAAGGCTTCTGTCAGCTACAAGTAGAATTCAGGCTGTATCATAAGGCCACATAAAAAACACAGGTTTAGACACAATTTTCATAATAACTTATAAACTCATACAGCCTGGGGAACTCAAAGATACCACTGCAAGTATAGCTGCATGTGTAAGGATAATGTTTGTTTTACTAGGCTAAATCAAAACTTCTGGCATGAGCATATTTTTCTTCCATGTCTCTGGTCTCAAAAAATGATCTGTGAGTCTCTCTCTCTCTCTCTCTCTCTCTCTCTCTCTCTCTCTCTTCCTCCCTCCCTCTCTGTCTATTTTGTTGTTGTTTGTTTGTTTTTGTTTTTAGGATTTAGAAATACCGATAGTGCCCATATTCCGCAGCACGGCTCAACAGTTCCGAGACATACCATTCGGAATCAGCAACAGTTCTGCGGTTCTGAGCCACTACAACGTCACCAGAAACAGCATCTGCCTCTTCCGACTGGTAAGCTGGGTGGGCAGCTCCACGCTTCTCCCAGGTTTTCCTTATGTCTTTAACACTATTGCTGTTGCCAAGTTGAGGGACATTGCTGACAAGGAGGTGCTGGGCTGAGGTTTACAGAGAAGGGAAATGGAGAGCCAAGATGTGGGATTAAGGGAACTGCCAGGTGCCTCACCAGGCAGAGAGGGTGAGTGAGCCACCTAGTGTCTATTCCCTTCAGTTCTTACCTCTATAAAATAAAAGGTCTGGCCATATTATCTGTAAGGTCATGTTAAGCACTGAAGTTACACACACACACACACACACACACACACACACACACACACACACACATGGGAGTGGCAGACAGAGAAAAAACAGGAGTTTTATGCTATATAACTCTGTGTGTGTGTGTGTGTGTGTGTGTGTGTGTGTGTGTGTGTGTGTGTGTACGCACATGTGGAGAGGTTCTCATGTAACTCAGAATGGCCACTTGATACAGAGATAACGATAGCCTTAAACTTCTGGTCCTCCACTTCAGAAATACTGAGATTACAGGCGCAGGCACACACTATCATACCCTATTTATGCAGTGCATGGGGAATCAAACCCAGAGCTTCGTGGATACCAGGCAGGCATGCTACCAACTGAAGGACATGCCTCGCCCTACAATCTTATAATTGGATATGTTGAGAAGCTGGCCCATGTTTATCAAATATTTTATTAGACAACTCGTGTATAAGGTAGTGATAGCAGCGTAATATACTCTGTTCTCATAGAACTTAAAATGTAGCAAAAACTATAACCAATATCCTAATAGAAAACATCACTATAAAGCTGGAAGATGTGGTGCACACCCTTAATCCCGGCGCTAGGGAGGCAAAGACAGGAAGGCCTCTGTGAGTTAGAGACCAGCCTGGTCTACACAGTGAGTCTAGGACAGCCAGAGCTACGTAATGAAATCTGCCTCAAAAGAAGAAAAAATAAATTAGAAAGCATCACTATGGGTAAAGTGTTATGGGAATGAAAATAGTATGGGAATTTAGAAAAATAATACACAGGGACAATTAAATGTGAAGTATATGTTAAAGTTGGGCATTCTAATGGAGACTCATGACCAAAGGAGGAAAACTGAATACAGTTAGGAGTCAATGATGCCAACTTGATTGGATCCCAAGGTCCATGTTACAGGAAAAGGAACATAAGACACGGAAGCTTTATTCGAACGTATTTGTGCTAAAACCACAGTGCTGGTATCCTGGGTTTGTACGTACTTTGTTTGGCACCAGAAAGCTCCCCAAAGCCTTTGGGTCAGGAGAGTAATTCGGATTGAAATAAGATTTAGCAAGATTATTTTGGAAACAAAGAATACGACGGATTGTTAGGCAGAGATGTGAGAAGCAGGAGCTCTTGCTAGCTCAGCAAAATAGACTGTGTGAAACTTATCAAGAGTCTACAGGGGATGGAGAGGGGCCCAGAGGTTAAGAGCGCTGGATGCTCTTGCGGAGGACCAAGGTTTGATTCCCAGCAACCGTTTGGCAGCTCTCAACACCAGTTCCAGGGTATCTGACTCCTTCTTCTCACCTCCACAGACACCAGGCACACGTGGGGAGCATATACGTGTAGCAAAAATAACCACACACATTGAGTTTTTAAAGAGATAGAGAGGGGCTGTGCTGGAGGAGGAACAGCAACTGAAATGAAAGAAGCGGTGATCTGCCAAGCTTGGGGATGCAGCCCTGTGATCCCGGCACTCGGGAGTCTGAGGCAGGAGGACCAGGAGTTCAAAGCCAGCTCCCCCCCCCAAAAAAAAGTGCCGAGCAGACCTGACAGTAGTGTGAACGCTGCTTACAATGTACCCTTTATAAAGCCCTGTTGGTGGCTCTTCTAAGACCCTTCCTTGGCAGCTGTTTTATGTTGGCCGCGAGTGACAGCCCTACTGGGAGCAAAGCCTTGGGACATTGGTGGACAAACTTTATGTGCCATGCCAGAAAAGAAACAGGCTGGTTTTGTGCCACTGGCAGGGCTGGGAAAGGTTGGAGCTTTTACAGGGCAGCTGTTACATAAACACGGTTTCTCGGCTACATTTTCAAAGTTTGGTACATATCTTAATAGGATTATTGTTCAGGAGTTCAGAATAAATTTAATAAAGAAAAGCTGGGACCATTTTACTTTATTTTAGGAATCTCAAGCCTATTGAAAACCTTATGGGACCTTCTTTCAACTTAGATCCACATTTTATTGTCTGCAGTTTCCACAATTTGTTTATTTTTGTGTCTGTCTGTCCATCTGCCTATATGTGTCTCTGTGTGTAGGACTGGGTCTGTGTGTATCTAATCTGTGATAAGCACTATTATAATTCTCACAAAATATTAGAAAAGAATATTATTCCTGCCGGGCAGTGGTGGCTCACACCTTTAATTCCAGCACTCGGGAGGCAGAGGCAGGCAGATCTCTGTGAGTTAGAGGTCAACCTGGTCTACAAAGTCAGTTCTGGGACAGCCAGAGCTGTTACATGGAGAAACCCTGTCTTGAAAAATCCAAAAAAGAAAAGAACCAGAAAATTCTTCCTGAATTTTCAGCAAGAAAAATAAAGTTGTAGTAGATGGAAGCAACTCCCCAGAGTTTCACAGCTGTCAAGTGCTGCCTGGTGCCATGCTCAGCCTCCTCTTCCGGCTGCACTGCAATAGCTGTCTAAGGCACTAAAGGAAATTCTTTTTTAAACTAATTTGATGGTTCTTTTACATTTACACATGCATTTCTGTGTGTCTGTATGTATTTGTATGTCCTCTTGGGTGTAGCAGAGTCCAGAAGGAGGGTGTCAGATCTGCTGGAGCTGGCAGTTACGAACCTCCTGTTGTAAGTGCTGAGATCTGAATTCAGGTCCTCTGCAAGAGCCCCATGAATTCTTAACGACCGAGGCATTTCTCCAGCCCCCAAAGAAAATGTCTGTCTTTATCCTAGGTTGTATTTATTTAATGTTCCTCATTCTGAAGTCTACATCTCAAAAACTTTATCTCAAACCACTTCCCTAAGCCCCTGGTATTAATTAAACAAAACCCAGGATTATATCTCAGGATTTAATCTAGAATCTAATATAGGATCTAGATAGTATAGAGTTTGGTAGCAAAATTTCAGAATTTAGAGTTACTTTGTTTGTAACAGTAAGAATATATTTGAAGATAAGATGAAATAATAAGTAAACATACACGGACTCATTATCATTGAGGCAGCAAGAGCTATGTTTGTGGACTATTGGGGTTTCTATTGCTGTGATGAAATACCATGAGCAAAAGTAACTTGGGGAAGAAAGGGTTTGTTTCTTCGTATAATTCTGAGGTTACCCTCTGTCCCTGGGAGAAGTCAGGGCAGGCTCAAGGCAGGAGCCTGGAGGCAGGAGCTGAAGCAAAGGCCATAGTAGAATGATGCTTGCTGGTTTGTTCTGCTTGGCTTTCTCAGCCTGCTTTCTTATGTAACTCATAAAGCCTGAGGAGGCACCACCTACAGGGGGCTGGGCCCTCCCATATCAATCATTAATGCCTAGCCGTCTTGCCTATAGGCCAATCTTAAGGAGTCATCTTTCCAATTGACTCTAACTTGTGTCAAGTTGACAGACACTAGCCAGCACAATTGACTCCTTGTCAACTTGACACATCAACTGTTGCCTTTGTTTCCTGTCCGTCCTCAAAGTCTCATATTAATATCACAACATAAAGCATAAATAGCTTTAAAAGACCCAGTCTTTAAAATTTCAAATACCTCCAAAGTTTAGTCTCTTTAAAATATCCAGTCTTTTTAAAAGTTCAAAATCTCTGCAGAATGACCAAAGTCCCTCTAATACTCCAAAGTCTATGGGCTCCTATAAATACTACTACTACTACTACTACTACTAATAATAATAATAATAATAATAATAAATTTTAGAAGTTAAATATTTTCTTACTTCAAGAGGTAAGAACCAGGGTACAGCCACAACCAAATCAAAGCAAAACCAAACTTGCACAATATCAGCAGCTCACTACTCAGTATCTGGGTTCCAGGGGTCTTGGGAAGCTCTATTTCACTCAGGCTCTGCCGGTCATAGCACACATAGCTTGTCCAAGAGGCTAAAACTGGCTCCGCTCCACACCTGCCACTGTACTTGGCAGTCACCACACAGTCCTGGCATCTCGTATATGCTGGGATCTTCACTGCAGCTGAGACTGAATCTTCACCAACTGCCTCTGTGGTGGTTCGAATAAAAATGGCCCCTATAGGCCCACAGGGAGTGGCGCTATTCGGAGGTGTGACCTTCTTGGAAGAAGTGTGTCACTGGGGGTGATCTTTGAGGCCTCAGATGCTCAACCCACACCCATTGTGGCATTCTCTTTCTGCTGGATGTAGAACTCTCAACCCTGTCTGCCAGCACACCGCCATGCTTCTTGCCATGACGATAATGGACCAAACCTCTGAAACTGTAAGCCTGCCCCAATTAAATGTTTTACTTTGTAAGAGTTACCATGATCATGGTGTCTCTTCACAGCAATAAAACTCTACCTATACAGCCTTTCCTCAGAGTCCCACGTTGCCAAGCCCCAGTTGCTCTCCATGCCCTCTCCATGCTACCCAACATGTTGCCGGTTTGGGTAGCACTTTACAAAATACCAAGTTCAGCAGCCAACATGAGATTCAGTCTTGGCCCCTCTGACCCACAGTCTCCGTGTGATGATTCTGTGTGATGTGAAGCACGCCCCTGAGGAAGTACTTCCAGGAGATTTCACCTCAATGATGCTGGTCTCTTCTTGACCACAGCTGAGTCCAGCACCAGTTGACCAGCTGTACATATTCTCGATAGAGTCTTTGAGGAACTTTGAAACCTGTCTTGAAATGTTGCAAGCCAGGCCTCTCACTCACATCTGCATTGCTCTCGGTATTCTTTTCCAGCTTCCCACAAGATAGCTTACAAAGCTCTGAACACTCAGTGGCTTTTTCCCCACCCAAAGTTTCAAAAATCCTTCACAACTCTCCCCATAAGGACAGAGTTATATCTGTCACAGCAATAGTCCACTCTGGTACCGATAGGTGTCTTAGAGTTTCCGTGGTTTCGATAAAGACCATTACCAACCACAGTCTGAGGAGGAAAGCGTTTTGTTTGGCTTAAGTCTCAGTATTACTGAGGGAAGACAAGGCAGGAACTTAAGGCAGGAACCAGAAACAGAGAGCAGCTAGAGCAAGCCAGCAAGCAGCATTCCTCCATAGTCTCCAATCCAGTTCCGACCTCCAGGTTCCTGTCTTGGTTTCCCTTGACCACAGACTGACTAGTAAGCCAAATAAACTCCTTCCCTCCCAGGCTGCTTTTAGCTACAGTCTTTACCACAGCAACAGAAAGCAAAAAAGGGCAGGAACTAGTGGGGGCTGCCTTACAGTGAGATTCCTAGGAAGCACTTCAGCAAAGTTTGGGTAAAAATTAGAAGTTGCATGTGAGGCTCCCAAGGACTCAGCCTGACTGAGAGTGTAATGTCATGGAGACCCTGTGTTTCTGTACCAACCCTATACAGATCTAAGCTTCACAGGAATCCAGTCTCTGGACTTAACAAACCATAAGACTGCCCTATTATTCGAATCTTTGCATGACTTTGGATTTTCTTATTCACATCTATTTTAAGAAATAAAGTTAGCCCAACTCTGACCTAAGGGGATATAAGAGAAACATGGTAAGTCATTCTTGACCCCTTGAACTGTTCTTTTTGAATGCTTAGTATGAAATCTACCTTACTAGACATGGGGGTCAGAAGAAATGACTGCAAAAGTAAACTAATAAATGAAAGAAGTAATGTATATCAAAGCATCAAAAGACTTCTGTAAAGTATGTATGTCAATGGGCGTGGTGGTGCACACCTATAATCCAGCCCCTCAGCAGACTGACAGGAGGAACTGGAGTTAAATTTGGCTAGGCAGCAAATTTAAAGCCATACTGGGCTATAGAAGACACTGTCTCAAAACAAACAGAAGGCAGCTGAGCAGCACATTTATATATTATATATGTGTATATAGATATATAAAATCAGAGACATGAAGGAATTCTTTAACAAATCATTTCTCAGTACCACGGAAGTTACTTTATAGATGGGCTGTCATAAAATATTATAGCTGTAGTATAATTAAGATGAACGGGGCATGGTGGCACCTGGAATTCCAGTACTGGGGAGATGGTGCAGGGATGATCAGGAGTTCAGATTCATCTCTGGCTACAGAGAAAACCAATAACGAGCCTCACTCCATGAAACCCTGTCTGAAATAAATAAAACAAGGAAGAACATAAATAAATAAGATGAGTTTTAATGCAGTTTTCTGAAGTGATTGTAAGAGCGCTCACAGGAATGCAAAGAACTACCTTCGCAGCAAAGAGTAGAACATGCTGGGGTCTCCGCAAGTGCACAGTGTCAAAAAAAAAAAAAAAAAAGGTCACTGGAGGTCATAGCCCTTCCAGTCAGCTCTTTTCCGCTTTCGGAGTCTCTGTCCTGTCCCGGGGGAGGATAACTTAAGTAAAATTCCTTCCAAACACTCGCAAAATAGATGTTTTAAAAAACGTTCTCAAAGTCTTATTCTAGGACAGAGCTTTCTCTCCAGAGCCTTATGCAAATGATCCGCTTGGTGGAAGGCAGACTTCCTGTTCAAGTGTTGCCTCCAGGAACCCTACACGCGGATGCTCCTGTGTTTATTAGTTTGGGAAATAATGAACTAATCGGGTATGTTTTCTTGGGAGAACTGGAGAGCCTGCAGGAGAGGGGGCGGTTTACTGAAGCGCTCCCACTGCCCAGGGCAGGAACTTTATCCCTGCCGCACACCCTTTGTCCTTTGCATTCCTGAGTCCAGAAATCCACCTGGAGTTCTTGGCGTTTCCAGTGCTCCAGTTCTGGGAAACCTGAGGAACTGCCTGGAAACCAGGCAGGAGGGCGGGGCCTCCTGGCCCAAGGCTGCTGGCCCAGCTGCACACAGGAGCCAGGCCTCTATGTCCTAGAAAAATAATCTTCAAGCATTTGGACATATTCAGTATTAAGAGGGCTTTGATTATGATGATGATTTGAGTGGTTGCAATAGCAAAGTCCTAAGTGTGAGATTGTGCCAGCTGGCAAGCCCGCCTTAAGCAGCAGAGATTAAGAGAACAGCTCTCTCTCCCTCTCCTTGCCTTCCTCCCTTCCTCCCTTCCTCCCTTCCTCCCTCTTTCCCTTCCTCTCTCTTGTGTGTGTGTGTGTGTGTGTGTATCTGTCTGTCTGTCTCTGTAAATATGTCCATGTGTCTGTGCCTGTGTTTGGATATGTGTCCAGGAGAACAGGTGCTGGCAGAGTCCAGAGGGCCCCGAAGCTCTTGGAGCTACCTTGAACTCCAGGCAAACCTCCTCCCTGATCTTCCTGAAAGACCCTCAGATTGAGGAATCTCCAACCTGGACGGTCACCCAAGAACTCAATATCTAGTCCAGTTGAAGCAAACTGCACGAGGCTTTATTGCAGCTGTTTAACAAGCTAACCCCATGTTAGCTCCGGCCTTTCATCCATCCACCATGGCGGATGGCTAGGAAAGACGACGAAAAGCCACTGCATAGAGATCTTGTAGGGCAGTGTAAGGGGAGTGTCTAGGGTATGCACAGGCTCAGGATTAGTGTGGCTCCAGGCTTGGAGGGTTTGCCCTGTGTTGATTGGTCAACTGGTTGCTACGGCCCATAGGCCCCCCCAGGATGGTTGCTGTGCTCTACATGTCATTGCTGTGCACTTGTCCGTAAAGCACACAGAGAGCCGTAAAGCAAAGCACCACCAGCTAACTTCTGATTGGTTCCTTGCCACGAGGCAGGCGTCTGACCTCCTAGTGACCAAGGCAAGGTCAGGCAAGCACGTGCTAGGCTGTTATGGCTGCTGAAAGGGGGAGCTGGTCCCTTCATTCCTAAGTGCTGGGATTAAAGACATGAACTACCATAGCAGGCTTTGACTTATTCTTTACTGGTTTGGTAGGACTATTGCGAATATAAAGCTGAACAAGTTCCACGGAGACTTTTTCTATTGTTCATACATCTTTTTCTCAACGTTCCTAGTGAGCATTTTGGATTTTAACACAACTGTGTGTACCAAGTGGCTCCACCCACCTCTCATCCATGTCAGACTCTGTGCAGCAGAGGTACCTGGAGTTTCTGCTCCTCCTGCCTCTCCTTCCAAAATGCTGAGGTTACAGCAATCAACATGTCTATCTCATGTAGTGCTGGAGATGAGGTCTGGGGCTTCCTGCAACAGGGGAAAGTCTTCTACCAACTGGTCTGCACATCTCCAACCCCAATTCTGTGTGTTTGTTGCTGGGAATTAAACCTAGGAATTCACATGCTAAGCAAGCAAGCACTCTACCACTCAGTCATGTTTTACAATATCCACCGGTTTGGATGGGTTTTGCCCCCTAAAACTCTAATTTAGAAGTACGTTTTCTATATTTTGGCATTTATTATTTCATAAGTTTAATCTGCTTTAGACAATCTTTTAAGTTGCTTTTTTTAAAATCTTTTAAATCTTTGTGCATAGGTTCTAATGTTCAACTGGGAGATGTAACTGCCAACTAATATTAGATTCTGGTAACTTAAAAGCTAAGTAATACATAATGGCAGTCTTTAAAGGGATCAATAAAGCTTGAGCAACTTCCCAACCAAAGAGGGAGAAAAAGGAATATTGGGAAACTAAATGAAAAGTAAGCCAGAGGTTAAGAAAATGGAATTCAGAACAGCTGTGCTGATGGAAAATGCATAATTCAATATATCAGTGATTGTATTACATAAAAATAGCCCTTAAGAGACAAGTAGAGAAAAGTGTCCCAAGGGTAGGAAACTCCCCTCCTGTCTTTGGAGCTGTGCTCAGTGCCTGTCACAGCCTTATAGTCAATTCCCATTTGCCAATGATCTCAAAGATGCTGCAGGTCACTCCGCCCTTCATTGTGTCTTGTTTCCCTCCCCCAGGTTGACAATGAACAACTGCACTTGGATGCTGAAGACATTGAAAACTTAGATGCCTCCAAGTTGAGCCGTTTCATTCAGATGCACAGCCTCCGCTGGGTGACAGAGTACAGCCCTCTGGTAAACACTGATCCCTGTGATCAGTCCTCTTTGTTCCTGTGTCATGGGGGTTCCTTGCCCCCACAGCAGAGATGTTCTCTCCACTGTTAGTAACTGTCCCTCACTGAACACCTGCCATGTTAATATCCTTGTTAACGCTTTAAGACTGATGGGTTCATCCCTCTCTATTCAACAGAGAGAGAAACAGACACAGCAAAGCTAAATGACCTATAACACAACTCACAAGAAAAAAGCCCAAAACACTTCTTAAGGTACCTGGATCAAAACCTTGGAATCTGGAGTCTGGCTATGTGAGTGTGCTCTGTGAAGGCCATGGGCTCGAAGGCAGTCGCTAAATCACTTTTCTCAAGGGATGACCAAAAAGGCTGTTTTTATTCATTGCTTTTCTTGTTGCTGCTAAAAAGGCAACTTCAGGGAGGAAGGACTTGCTTTGGCTCACAGTTTGAGAAGACACAGTCCATCAGGGTGAGGAGGTTTGTAAGCAGGAACGTGACACAGCTGGTCACAGTGCATCCATAGCCAAGAAGCAGAGCGATGGAAACTGGCCCTTAGATCACTTTCTCCCTGTTTTTTTTTCATTTTAGCCAGTCCTGAAGCCCATTGGTTTGTTCTACCCACCTTCATGGTGGCTCTTCTCTCTTCAAACCCCTCTGGAAATGCCCTCACAGATATGACCGGAAGTCTGTCTCCTAGATGGCTCTAAATCCAACCAAGTTGCTGGTCAAGAGAAACCATCGTAGTTTTCTTTACCTAGAGGTTCACTGTTGTCTCTGCTGTGTTCACGGAACCATCTGTGGACTCAGAAAAGATGGTCTAGTATTTCCTGTGCACATGACCCTGGTGTCATAGTATCCTAGATGCAGGGCAAGGACAAATCTTCCTCTTAGGCCTGGCCCAGTTCTCATCTTACAGAATAGCTTTGTGTCCTTTTGAAATGTCACACTATTAGGGACAGTAAATCATATCAAGAGAAAGTCAGGAAAGATCTCTTTAGAGAAGCATATTTAATTCCTATTAGGATCTCTCACATCTCAGAAGTAACCCCCTCTCACTTGGAGAGCTGCCCCCTCAACGACTACTATTTTCTGTCCATGCTGGTACAAATATTTGTACTAGAAAGACTGGGCAGAAAGTCACCGCCATGCCCTGGTCCTGCACGTGCATCTAATGTACACATTCTGTGTGTCTTTGCTGCACAAACCAGGCTGTGTCTGTTGAGATCAAAACAGCCACTTCTGTGCCCCCATCCCTTCCTTCTGTAAAGATAGCTCTGCCTTCTGACTCCTAAGCTCTCATCTCTCCACCCTTCCCAAGAATTCCCTCTGCTTCACAAGAGTGGATGCCACTCTGAATTTAAGTAGCATGAATCTGTTACTATAACTACAAAGACTGCTATAACTGTTACTCTTTTGTTGAGAGCACATAGGTGAGAGAGAGTAGAAAGGAAGCTGAGAGGAAACAGAGCAGGGAAACAGAGAGAGGGGAACAGAGAGCGTAAATGGGCAGGGGCCTATCTTTTAAAGGGGTCCTCTGTATCTGCGTGCAGGCTTAGTTCCCATGGAACCTTGGGCTGACCAGGGTATTGCCTGTTCCACCAGGTAACAGGGGCAGGCCAGCATAATGCCTGAACCTTTCAATAACAAGAATCAATTATTTGCTACCCCGTGTCCCTAATGTAACCTAAACCTGTGGTCAAAGTCCAAGACAAAGTCTTTAGGAAATACTTCATCTGGCCACACTTGCCTCGCCTGTGGTCCCTCTGTGACCAGCTGCACTAGAAAAGCTCACACAGTTCCTAGGAGTCAGCCAGTGGACACGGAGTGGCTGGGTGTTTCTGGACACCTGGGTCTCTGGACAGATTGCAGGCATTTGCCAGGTTGACATCATCTGCAGGCTCTGCCAGTGCTTAAGAGCTAGTCAGAAGGTTCACTCCTGTGGCCAGCAACTTGTTCTTGCTGTTGCCATATAAATCTGTCCTTAGGGCTGCTGTTGCTGTAGAAATCTATCCTTAGGGTTACTATTGCCATATAAATCTATCCTTAGGGCTTCTGTTGCCATACAAATCCATCCTTAGGGTTACTATTGCCATATAAACCCATCCTTAGGACTTTTGTTGCCATATAAATCTGTCCTTAGGGCTGCTGTTGCTATATAAATCCATCCTTAGGCTTACTGTTGCCATACAAATCCATCCTTGAGGTTACTATTGCCATATAAATCTATCCTTAGGGCTTCTATTACCACTGTATAAATCCATCCTTGGGGCTCCTGTGGCCATACAAATCCTTCCTTAGGGCTCCTTGACAGCCCCATACTGGGCTGGCTGTCCCCAGAGTAAAGGATGTAACAAACATTTATAGAGTTTATGGCTTAACCTTGACCTTTCCATCAAGTCTACAGTGTCCTCTTAGCTACTCCATTTGGTTGTTTAGTGAAGAGCAGCTGCCTGAAAGCCAGGTGGCTGTACTTAATTTTAAGCTGTCTTTTCATTATTTCTAACTCTGTGCATGTTGTTTGTCTGTTGAGTGGTATGTTCACCACATGCATGCAGGGGCTTGTAGAAGCCAGGAGAGGGCGTCAAATCCACCTGAAGCTGTAATTAACGACAGCTGAGAGTTTCCCAGCATGGGGACTGGGAGCTGAACTTTGGACCTGTGCAAGGACAGTACATGATCTTTGCCCCTAAGCTGTCCCTCCAGCCCCCAGATGATTGTACTTTTTAAAAAGGATATTTAATAAATGTTATGTATATGTGCATTGCTTGAGTAAATGTATGGGCACCGCATGTGTGCCTGAGCCAGAGGATGCCAGGGTATCAGATCCTCTGGACCTGGAGTTCCAGGCAGTTGTCAGCCACCATGTGGGTGCTGCGAACCAAACCATTGTCCTCTACAGCAAAGATTAATGTGCTCTTAACCCCTCAGACATCTCTCCAATATCCAGTTGATTTTACTTGTTAAAAATATTTGTATCTATTATTTGATAATTCTATACATGGATACAATGCATTTTGATCACATTCAAAGTTGTGAAATTGTTAATAGCCATCTTAGAGACTATTTGCGCCTGTGTTATTCTGTTCATTGCACTGGCATTTCTCTGTCTCTGTGTATCCGTGTCTCTGTTTCTCTCTCCCTCCCTCCTGCTCCTTCCCCCTCTTCTTATCCTTCTTCTATGATACATTTAATTTCCCAGATTGCAGCTGGCTTATTTAACACCATGGTTCAGACTCACCTTCTCCTGATAATGAACAAGACTTCCCCGGAGTATGAAAAGAGCCTGCAGCAATACCGGGAGGCAGCTAAGCTCTTCCAGGGACAGGTAAGTTGGGAATGGACACCACCACAGGAAGCCGAGACTGGGGAAAAGGGAAATTGTATGGTTTCAAGGGTAAGAAGTAAGTCATGGGAGGTAAGAAGTGAAATTTTTTGAAGCTAAAGACTTTATATTCTAATATTAAGACTCAAGTGATCAGTCTTCCAGCTGTGGCCATGTGGTTGGTTGTTTCACACTGATATGTGGGGAGACAGTTAAGTATAAAAATGCTGAGACCACATCCTCTAGTTGGAATCTAGTTACTCACTATAACCTCCAAATCTATCTACTCACTATAACCTCTGTCCTAGCTGACAGAGAGCAGATATTACTTCTTACGTGAGTACCTACAGAGCACCAGGTGCCTACTTCAAGTACACCATGGTCCTTTCTCTTCCTCCCACCCTCCTGGGTGCAGTTCGGCTTGACATCTCTGAAACAGCCATCATCATCTACCCCTGCATGGCAGAACCCAAACGGAAGCCTTTCTAATGAAAGCCATCACATAAGCTGTCTTCAGGAAGACGGGTCCCTGACATGGGGAGCATTGAGTGTTCCTGAACACAGACAATCCTCTGCTCAGAAGACCACAAGGATTTCTACCTTGGGTAGACCTGACTTAAGAAACAGCCCCCACCCCCGCCTGCCTGAGTTAGGGCCCAAATGATTACACAGAAACTTGTATTAGGTTCAAAGCTGCTTGGCCAATGACTAGGATTCCTCATCTGTTAGCTCTGTCTTAATTATCATAAATCTATATATTTTATAAGACTTATCATATTGGACGCCTTATTGGCTTCCCTCCTTGTCGGTGGATCACATTGTGCTGCTGGAGCAGGAGCAGAGGGGAAAAGAGGATACTTCCTGTTTCTTCTTCTTTAAATATGAGTCTCCTTGCTATGTCACTTCCTGCCTGGATCACCACTTTTCTACTACATTTCCCAGAATCCTCTTTGACTCCTAGTCCCATCTAACTTGCTGTCTCATTGGCCAAACAGTATTTTATTCAATAATCAATAAGATAAACATACAAAGAAGTACATTCCTCATCACGAAACTTCACTCTCTGCCTTTAATCACCAGGCTAGACTTTCTTGATTAGGGAATCATCAACGTGTCTTCAAAGTCCAAATTCTTTTTTTTAAAGCTTGTTTTTAGTTTCAGTCGGAGCAAGGCGGTGAATAAGGATGAGAGTCAGAGAGACTATAAAAGAGTGTTGTATCTCCTAAAGCTGGAGTTTCAGGGGCTTGTGAACTACCTGGTATGATGTGCTCAGAGCTAAACCTGGGTCCTCTGCTAGAGTGGTACACACCCTTAACCTCTGAGCCATCTCTCTAGCCCCAAATTACAATTTTTTCATCGTTTGTTTTAGTTTGGTTTCTCTAGACAGGGTTTCTCTGTGTAACAGCCCTGGCTGCACTGGAACTCACTTTGTAGACTAGGCTGGCCTCAAACTCACAGAGAGCCACCTGCCTCTGTCTCCCAAGTGCTGGGATTAAAGGCATGCACCACTATGCAAAGCCAAAAATGTATGGCCCAGGCTGGCCTTGAACTCATGATCCTCCTGCCTCCTCCTCCTTCAGCAAATCGAACTGGAATGCACCACCACAAATGGCCAAAATTCTTTTAGCTAAATTTGACTAAAGGTATAAAATACCAAAGCAACAAAAATAAATGTCAAATTCATTTAATTTTATCAAGATGTGTTGGGGGGGTCTTATGTAGCCCAGGGTAGCCTCAAACTTGCTGACTTGCTGATATCAAATGTGGCTTTGAAACCCTGGTCCTCCTACCTCTGCCTCCCAAGGGCTGGGATTACATGCTCCATCATGCCAGGCTTTAACTTAGACTAAAATTACGTGATACAAACCATAAATTCAATCTGTATAGTGACAGTAGCAATTACTAGATGTCTCTGTCCCCAGGCTCTCAGCTGGACCTTTTCTTTAACCTCTCTCTAACTACAGATCCTCTTTGTTCTGGTGGACAGCGGCAAGGGGGGGAACCGAAAGGTGATATCCTATTTCCAACTAAAGGAGTCTCAGCTGCCGGCTCTGGCCATTTATGAAAGTGTGAATGACAAGTGGGACACACTGCCCATCACAGAAGTCACAGTGGAGAAAGTCCAAGGCTTCTGTGATGGCTTCCTAAAGGGGACACTGCTGGTGAGTGTGGGGCACTTGTTGCTCTTCTCTGGGTGCATTTCATTTCAAAGCAGGGTGACTCTGAGCAGATAGTTCATGGGACAATCATTTGCAAAGGGTTTGTCTATGCAAACTCAATTTGGGATTTCTCCAGTTTCTGTTCAGGGACTGTTGTGAGGTTACTTAAATCCTATATAAAGAGCTCATGCATGAGGTGTGCCTCATGTCAGGTACTCTGGTGTGAAGCCAGCTTGGGGTACATTTTAAGTTTAAGTCCAACCAGAGCTGCACAGTGAGACCTTTAAAAAAAAAAAAAGATTAACACTAACACTAGAAGAGTTGAGCAGTTCAAAGTGAAGGTGGATTTAAGGTTTTTCAGGAGTAGTTAAATCTGCACTCTAAGTTCAGCATCACTGTGTTTTTTCAGAGAGATCACGATGTGGAAGGAGATGCAGAGGCGCGGAAGGAGGAGCTCTGAGCTCTCCCTGGTACAGCTGCTGACTGCGATGGATGTGCCCCTTCTGTATTGGATAAAAAGGGGCAGTTCCCATCTCCCGCCAGTGAACACCGGTGTTCTAGCATGGGGCGGGAGGTCACCAGGCTTCCTTTGTGTCTTTGCCATCTCCCTTCCTTGCCTCCTTTGTTTTCAACTTCCCATCCTCTCCTTCACACAGCCCCGCCTCTTACTGTGAGCAAGTTCTGATGAGACAGAGGCCTGGGAGACTCTATGAAGGAAAAGCGTTCCTAGAGAGAGGCTGTTCTGATGTGTCACTGACATTGACTCGGTACCCTGAGCACGGCTTACACAGCAGTTCCTTTTCCTTTGGGGTCATCCAAGGATAGAGACCTCACCCTTCTCCATAAGCACACATCTTTCCCTGACTTGGGGCCAAGAACAAAAACATGTTTTGGGTTTTTTTTTTTCCCCCTCCAAAAGTTAAACGATGTCTCCAAGTTTCTAGTGATTGCAGCTCCCCGTGTAAATCAGCAACCCACGAAATAAATAAAATCCAACCCCGTTAAAAGAAGAGTGACATCTCTCTGCAGCCAAACCCTTTGGAGGGAACCCAGCTGCCCAGCTCAGCGGTACATGCTGCACCCTCCAGGGCTCTGTTTCCTTTTAGGTCACGACCCACTGCTGTGTTGTTCGCTGTGTGGGTGGGATGAGTGGTTGGACCTGACCATCCTCCGTGAGGATTGATACAAATGTGGCAAAGGAACCAGGGAGTCAATTAGGTAAAAGGTTAGGGAGAGACAGAAGCGGGGATAGGCATTTGGTGCCAGGGCATGCTGGGGCTAACCACAGTTTCTGCCAGTAAGGTGTACGGGATGCAGGGGCGGGGGGCGGGGGCACGACACAGAGAAGTTTGACTATGGGTCGCTGGCCACAGGCTGTTACTGACAACACACAGATGCTGCACTGTCGCAGTCTTCCCGCCCCCTCCAGGCCCTTGGCTCTAAAGAAAAGTGTCTAAGTGCTGAAGAGCTGAAAAACCACAGCTGAACAGAAGGACGGTTCCAAGTGAGAGACAAGGAGTAAAAGGGTTGCTTGTTCCTTTCTGTGGTCTAACCTCATGGCCCCTGGGCGTGGTCAGTGGCTGGAAAGGAGACTGTGAAAGCAACTCTTGCAGTGACACAAGAACCAGGAGCTTGAGGGGTCACCAGGTCCACCCCAGGACCACACAGGAGCACAAAACCGGCTCATCCCAGAATGCTTCCTTGACAGTGACATTTCCACTCCGGAATTCTTTCTGATGGATGATCCCTACTGGGTGACATTTCTCAGCCCCTTGGGATGTCTTTTCTTGCAACTCTGAAAATTCTAACACTGCCTTGTCACCATCCCCTAAGGTAGTGGTTCTCAACCTTTCTCACGTTGTGGTGACCACCAACCATAAAATTATTTTCATTGCTACTTCATAACTGTAATCTTGTTATTGTTAGGAATCATAATGTAAACATCTGATTGCAGGATATCTGCTATGTAACCCCTGTGAAAGGGTCATTCCACACTGTCAATGGGGTCATGACCCACAGGTTGAGAACCACTGTCTTAAATGCAGGTACAGCTCCATGCTTTGTTTTTGTTGTTGTTGTTGTTTTTCCCTTTTGGTGTTATTAGGAATTGAACTTGGGGCCTTGTGCATGGTAGGTGGATGCTCTATCACTTAGCCACACCCTCAGGAGATCTCCTGGTTACTTTAAAGCCCATTTACATGGTCTTCAGTTCCCCCTACAATCCAACCTTTTATCATTTTCATTTCCAATGTATTTATCACTTAGTCATTCTCATTCTTCCCTTTTGCCTCAACTTTCCCTATTTCTTGCTTAAAATGGTAGTACATCAAGCTTTAGTAAAGCTCCAGAATTATATATAATAATGGGCTGGTTTTAGCATTTTTATCCTAGCATACCCTCCCTCACGCACTGATAGCCAACACAGACCTCAGAGATACTAACAAAGCAGCAGTTTATTTTGCTGGTTGATGGTATTTTGTAGCAATTTAGTCACAAATCATCTTGTGTGCTTATGCTTGTGTATTTGTAGCGTTCAACTGTATTATTCCTTATCAGCTCATGGCTCTTCAAAACTTCCAGGAATTCTCCATGTCTTTATCAGTGCTGATCCTATTCTTTGTAACTTTGAGGACTCAAGAACAGAGGATGGAATTCCTTTAGAGAGAAGAGATTTGGGGCTTTGTGTGTGTTTACTTGAGGCCTCTGTGTAAAATGAGTTCTTAATTGGTCTAAGTAATAAAAACCCTGAGTCAGATACAGAGGAAAATGCCGAGATCCAAGAGAAGGAGGAGCAAACCACAGCCAGGCACGCCCTTCCTCCTTAGTGTCTCTGCAGACAAGAGTGAGTTCCTGTTTATGTCCACTTCCAACCTCTCCCCACCCAGCCATCTCCTTCCTGTGTGTCTGTACAGACCTCCAGACCTCTATGGCTAGCTAGTGGCAAGCTCCATTCTCTGACCTTCAGACAGGCTTTATTTGTACAAGAAGATATCACCACACCTCTGTGGTTTCCTCCCTGTTTAAACAGTTGGCCTCAAACACAAGACCTTCCTGCCTCTGCCTCCCAAGTGCTGGGATTACAAGTGTGTGAAACCAAAGACGGCAAAAGAACAGATTTCTGTTGACAAAAGCTGGGGCCTACTCTAACTTCTGCCATTTCTAGATGTTTCCTTGACTTTGGTTAACCATTGCCTAAGACTCCACATTCATTCCCTGAGACTGTGCCCTTGCTGGAACATCTAGAGACATCTCCGATGTCTTGTGCCATGGATTCATTATTAGCTCTCACTGGTAAAACCTCAGCCTTCCTTTGAGGTGGGAAATGTGCTGTGACCCCATCTAGGAAGATATTAGAAGATCAGGAAGACTATGATGGGAGCCTACACACAGGCAAAACAGAGCATGATTGACAAGTTCCGATTTGACTTCTTCTGGACTTTGGGAGAACCATTTTTTTTTTTTTTTTTTTTTGTCCCCGAAGGTTAATTTAAAGCTCGTTGAGGATGATATAATAGTTTACATGGGATTTTTTGGGATTTCAGGGTGATGATACACACAAAGGAAAGTCTAAAGACCTTGACACCACATTCCTTCCCTATTTCATGTCATTTCTCCAATTGTCACAACTTACGAAAACAGAAAGGCCTCCATTCCTGACTTCCTTAAATGAATGAGGCTTCCTAGTGAAAAATTCTGGAGATAACTGTCTTTAACTCACTTTCATTGTTACTCAGCATAGTGAGGACACCAGATCAGAAAACAATTGCCAGTGTTAAGATTACTGGTTATGCAGAAATTGCAAGAAATAAGAGGTCACTATGCCATGGGGGAGGGTATAAAGAGAAGCACTTCCGGCATTTAGACGGTAGTATGAGCAACAGGGATGTGTGGGCAAAAGCGTCACAGTGGTTTCCATGAGGAAGAATTGGCTAGGAAGTGGCAGGTAAGAAGCTAGTTGAATGGTATGCCCAGGATCACAGGCATAGGGGCTGTCCTTAGTTGCTTAGGTCTTGGCTCTGGGGTGAGTAGGACAACAGAATGGAGTAAAATCCCACCAGGAAGTTAGAAGGGGTAAAGACTCTGTCTGATTTCATTTGTATCTGAAATATGAATAGCAGGTGACTTGTTTGATATCTGTAGGAATTGGTGAGCCCTGGTGCCCTTGAATTCCATGATCCCAGAAGTCATCCATCTTCTTAGACAAACAAAGAGCTTCAGTAGGAGTTGATTTGTTGAAGCAAAGACAATAGCTGCTCCCTCAAGGAGGACAGGACACCAGACAGGACACCTGCCATGCAGCCAAGTGCCTCTAACTCTCTAGTGTTGGAATAGAGAGACCTCATAAGTTGAGGAAAAACTCATACTAAACTCATACTAATCATGCACATTATTGTGGAATTCCCTGAAAACTGAGAAGATATTTCTAGGATCCAGAGGGAAAAAATGGTTTTCCAAGCATGATACTTTTTAAAGCAAAACAATAGTTTTTTGTAGGTGCATGAGTTCAAACTCAGCAACCCTGGAATCCACAGGTAACTCTGCATTAGGCAAGGTTCTCTAGAGTAACGGAACTTCTAGAATAAATAGATAGATAGATAGATAGATAGATGTATAGATATGAGAATTATTAGAATCACTTACAGGGTATGGACCAACCAATCCGATATTGGCAGGCTATGAATGGAAAGTCCAACAATCTAGAAGTTGCTCAGTCTACAAGGCTGGATGTCTCAGCTGGTCTTCAGTAGACACTGGAATCTTGAAGAAGTAAGCCCTAATGCCAGTGAAGAAATGGACTTGCTAGCAAGGGCAAGAGCAAGCAGTCAAAAATCTTCCTTCCAAGCCCTTACACAGCAGATGTGGCCCAGATTAAAGGTATGTCTTCCCACTTGAAGATTCAAATAAAAGACGTGTGCCTTCCCTGCTTGAGATCTGGATCATTGGTGACTTCCTACCTCAAAGATCTGGACTAGAAGTTGATTTACCCATTTCAAATCAAGCAAGAAATCTCTTTCAAGTGTGCCTTCCATTTCTGGATGTAGTCCAGTTGACAATCCAGGACAGCCATCACACTCTCCAGAGAGAAGAGCAGGTTACAACAACAGGGCATTATACAGGGCTTAGGAGAAACTGTGTGACACATTATCCAATGCTCAGATGAGGCCATAACAAGCAGGTTAAATTTAAATCTCATTCCTCTTGGTCTCCCTGCCCACTGAGGTTCCTGGGAAAGGCAGATTTTCTAGAGCCAGTGAGGTCTCAGAAGTCAAAGTGTCATCTTTATAAATTATCCAATCATGCATTTGCCATACAGCCCTCTCCCAGCTCACGTAATTGTGTCCTGCCCCAAAGGAAGACTGTGTTCGTTAAACCTGTGTGAATACAGATGTTTGGGGCAGGTGAAGGGTAGGATGGGTGTTGTGCAGTATGAGAGAGCATCATTTATTCATATGCTCAATCATTCATTTAAATACTTATTAACTAGCTATGAAAATGCCAAGCAGGGTTGCCTCCTGAAAGGATGTGAGAAAGCTTGACTTTGGACGAAGAGCCATTGAGCAGAGAACACAGAATCTATTGGACTGTGTCTGGGCCATAGGCAGAGCCAGAGCAATGAGAAGAGGTACACTGTGGAGAACAACTAACAGGAAGTGGGCTAGGGCCCAAGAAGTCTGCAGGGATGGAGGAGGAACCACAATGAAAATTCGACCAGAAAAGGGAAAAGGTTCCTCATGGACAAATCCTATTTCACAACATTTGAAGACAATCCTGTTTATTCCACCTTTCCAAAAATACCAGTTCTCTTAAGAAAAAAAATAATAAAGCAGGAAGTGGAATGGGCCTGACCCCTGGTTCCACACTGAATAAACTTTGCATGGAGAGAGGGAAACTTGGGGAGCATGAAA